TAAGTCATCAATTATTTTAAAAATTTTTGTCCTATAAATCATTCATTATCAATTCTTAAGAATTCTTTAAAATGATCCTTTTTAATAAAGATTTCAAAATAGCTCTGTTCATATTTACTTAAAAAGGTTTTGAGGTTCCAGCTTTAAGAATTTCTTAATTAATACTTAATTACGTTTTTTTTTTATTTTATTTATTTTATTATTATTATGATGCAACAAGTATAATACTTTTACATGAATGCACCAGACACAACAAATTTTAGTGAGCTTATTAAAAAAGGTTTTTATGTATTTGGCAGAGATTCAACTAATATTGTGTTTTCTATGATATACCTCTATAATATTTAACAATAGAAATGGCACAAATAAAGAGCATAAATTAAAGCATATTATTATGATTTTTGTTTCGACTTTTTATACCATGAAATCTAATATATAAAAACAATGAAAATCCTAAACTGTTTGTATAAATTTGATATTTTAAGTTGATAAGTTGGCTTGCCTTTTCTCCCAGTGGCGGACAAGGGTCCTCGGAGTTTTAGGGGCCTGAAACTGAGCCCCGGCCTACGAGGTTTTTCTGCGGCATCGTTTGTTACGCCTCGTGTTTTGTGGGCCAAAGATGGGGTTCCGGCGGTCAGGGATTGGGGATTGTGGAGCTATAAAGGAGGTGGACCAGAGACCCTTTGTTGGTTTCTGGTGATTTGCTTTGTCAGTGACAAAAATAATAACAGCCAGCCGCAGGCGAAGCCAAAGCCAAAGCTCCTTTTTCCCAGGCCACGTCACCGGTTGTGCTCTGGTCTTGTTTTTCTGCTTCTGATTTGGATTCGGATGAGGATTCGGATTTCTGTTTCGGTTTCTGCATCTTTTTCTGGCTCTGGCGCTGTGACTCCCATATGTCAAGTGCTACGGCCAGCATGTGTGTGACCATTTTTAATTACCACAATTTGAATTTCTTGAATAACTATTTGGATAAGAATCAAATGCAGGACAAACCGAGCAGAGGCCTAATGGATGGGTCATATCTCGGCACATCACACCACATCACACCGCATACCACACAGGTCCTGTTGCGTTTCTACCGCCTCGGAGTAAAACAAACGCTTTGAAAGTTGCCTTCTGTCTGGCCAAAGTCGCGTCCCATAAATAATCAAGCAATTATTTTGCTGTCAATTTCAACACGGCCGCCGAAAATGCAATGCCAACGCCTAAACGGCCTAAGCACGAAGGACGAAGGACATTCGAGGAAGAGCTCTGTTCGCAGGACCAAAAAGGAGTGAGCCGGGAACATGCAACCCGCTGAGTCTTTCGGACACGCTACACGGCCTCAAGGAGCAATAAATTCTTTCTGGCTGCGCCGGCCAAGAAACCTAAGCACTGACGGAAAAATACATTAAAAAAATAATGATTATTAATTTATAACAAGAAGAGTACAATTAAAAATTCGAATTTTGGTGGCTAAAATTAATTTATGTTGCTAGACAAAATATTGCAATATAACCTTTCATGACTTTGATTTAAACAAATTTTAAAAGTCTGATTTTAAAATATTATAATTATACTTTGTCTTGTTGAAAGATAAACTATTTATATATAAAAGTATGATTTTAAAATATTATGATTATACTATGCTTTGTTTATATATAACTTTTGAGATCAACTTTTTTATCTGTATTTTAAAATGATTTGTTATTTTATTATCTAATTTAAAACATTAAATTCCAGCGACAGTAGAGTAGACTAACTAAATAATAATTGTAAGACATTAAAAGGTGTTGTATTTAATGTGACTTCGTGTTTCCTGAATAAAATTTAAAATTTAAGGTCTCTGAAGCCGGTGAATATTGTTCCCAGTGCATTGAATGCACAAAGGCGACGCCAACTGAGAAGCCTTCGAGTCTGGCTGGCCGTGGCCATAGTCTGTTGATTTTGTCGAGCAGCCCAAGGATCGCGGATCCTGGAGCTTAAAGCCTTTTGTGCAGTGGTGGTGGTCCCCCATCCGGCTGCGATTCGATTTCACGGCCGTATATCATTGCGATTTCAGTAACAGTCCCGTCCGAGCCCGCTGCTCCGCATAATATATATATATATAGTAAGTACGTATATATCTATATTTTTCCGCCCGTTTCTTTGCTTTTCCACGCACCGGTCGGAAGTCCTTTAGCAGATTATCTGGGCAGGCGAGTCCTGCGAATATCCCGTGAATATCCCGTGATTTGTAATTGAAGGGCGTGTTCGCTGTTCCCCGAAAAGGAAAAGCACTCGACTGCAGACTGAGGCAATGGCAATGGCAATGGCAGTGGAAATGGAAATGAAAATGGAACTGGATCCATATCCATGCGCTTGTCTAGCTGATTGCATTCCTCGAAAGGAACGAAAGGAAGTCGGAAGGGGCCATTAAGTGATGCCAATGATTAACAACGGAAGTATAGATTTGGCCAGACTCGTAACTGTTTTTTTGGGAAGGGGATTCGACGATGGCCATGGCCATGAAGGCGGAGATGAAGGCCCGACGAATCGATGGCCTTGGCAGAGCTCTTAATGGCATTTGGCCATAAATCAAACTGCTGCCTAATTGTCCAGAGTTAAAGCTAAGGTTCCATAAAGCCGGGTATGACTTGACTTTTAGGATTGCAATGCAAAAAGCAATAAGAAAGATAATATATGTATTTATTCCGTGAATGAAAACAGGTTGTTTTTATTTTTTTAACACTCTTCAATAATTTTGTATAACAATTTTGATTCCAACAACCTGTATTCTATAAACTTAACGAAATATCTCGGCTTATAAATATTAAGTTTGTTCTCCGACGATGATTTTAATAATGTTTTAAATCAAATCAAAATTCATGTCTTCTAATTTATTTAGAAATTTGCTGTCCAGTAATTAAAAGAGTTTTAAATCAACCATTTTATTAATTTAAGAGACATTTTTCGGGTTATCTTTTACACCCTTTACGACATTTAAATCCGGAATAAAACAATAAACGTAAATAACTTTCAATTGAATAGTTTTGTGGCGGCAAATTTACGTTTGTCGTGGAATGGTGGCGAATTTCTGGGGCCGTTAAAACCGAAGAGAGAGGACACTTCCGCTCGACAATGGTCCGCCATTAGCAGCATTATTCTTCCAGGACCCCCTGTCCCATTTTGAGCCCACTCTGCAAACCTCTGCTCCGAAACCTCTCCCCAAAAACCCCTTTCCAACGACATTTTTGCAAATGTCCCTCTCATATGGGTTACGCTTTTCCATTCCCCCATTCCATTTCCATGTTTGATTGTAATTTTGTAATTTTCCCAGTTTATTATCTGTCAACATTATCGCACACACACACACACACACCCGACCGAAACGGGCATTAAATTCTTGGCCGTCGCCATCGCTCTTATCTTGTGTCGCATAAAACGCCGAGCGAATTTTCCAGCACGCACACCAAATAAACTCATCGAATTTCTCTTGTTAATTGAAATAAAACTATTTCAACTTTAGCTCTGTGACCCCTTAAAATCTGCCTGGGTTCTGGGGCAGAAACTTTTCATTTATTTGGGGTTGGAAAAGTTTCCGAGGGCATCCAAAAATATACTCAATGTGAAAGTCTTAAGCATTTTCCTAGTGATTGGTAATATATTGGTGCTGTATTTTGTACTTATAATTAAACGAAAATTGACTTGGTTTCATAGTAAATAAACAGCAATGAATATTTTAAGAACATGAATTCGAATGGAAATGTTGAATAAAAACATTTCTACACATCATAAAATATTTATTTATTTTTATTTATTATTTATTTTATTATCTGAGATTAAACTAAAGTCTCTGACACAAAATTAATATTTTTTAAAGGGTAAGCGATCATTACATCCGAATTGAGAGTCAAACTTGGGATAATCTGCAATTCTCGTTTGAAACTCCTGCGTCTTAATACTCCGTTTCGCCAAAGTTATTGCCAAGTTTTGGCCTTACTAAGTAAAAGCCACTTAAAGTAAAAAAGTGCAGCAGTAAGTGAGTCCCAACGAATAGGAAAGAGACAGAATTAGGGGAGTGAGAAAGAGACGGACACACCACACACCACACACCATACATAACACACACGAAACTCATAAAAATGCTTTGTGGTTGGGAATTTCTTTTCGCTTTTATTTTTTGGTGTTATTTTTTATTGTTTGATGGCAAGGTTTTTGTCCTTTCCCCAAACTTCCATTCGGAATTCTTCAACTTTGGCTCCCGCCTTTGAGCTCTTTATTTTTTTCGTTTTATTTTTCAGCAAACTTTACAAAGCATTAACACCTCATAGATGGCAGACACAAAAGCGGGGGCTAAGAGCGAAAAAAATCAAGTTAAAAGCCACAAAACTCCAAACTCAAATATCGTATGTCACGTCACACATTGGCAGGACCAAAAAACAAAAAAAAAAGGACCACGGTGCAAGAAGTGCACGTATAGTAGATGGTAAAAATTTGATTACGTTTATTAGGGCCACGGCACTCACTTGACACTTTCCCCAGATTTTCCTTTCTCAACTTTTTAGGATTTATTGAACACTTTGTTATTCCGAGAAACAAAGGCAATGGAGTTTGTAATCTTTTCATTTTTTTCTGCTATTAAGCAGGACAATTAAGTTTTGCTTATTACTTTTTGTGTAGAATTATTTTGCAAATTCAGTAATTTAAATATACATTCATTTTAAGCTTAACTTTAATATTAGGCAAAACAATACATTTTAGTACAGTTGAGCAATTTAGTTACATATCTTTTAAAAACTAAATTTAAATATATGTATTTAAAGTTTATCTTAAGATTAGGACAATTAAAGGATAATTTGTTTATATGATCATTAAAAAAATGTATTTTAAGCGTACCTTAAGATGAGGCCATTCAAGCCATTATTTATCCATATCCCAGAAAAAATAAAAATCTTTTTAATCCATTTAAACAATTTGGTATTTTTTTTTTTTTGGATAAATTGCATTGTTTTTGACAGAAAGTGAAAAACGAGGATTTGGGAAAAAATTCGGTATGGATGAAATATTGAAAGAAATGGGGCAGTTCCTAATGATGAAGATGAGAATTTTCTTAATTTTTTCCAGGCCAAATTCGCCGGACAGCGGAAACTAACAAATGGAGGGTAAATGCCGGGATTTGTAAGTAAATTCTGCTAGGCAGCGGCCTTTTCTACACTAGACACTATTATTTCTCACATCCTCTTGAATTGTCGGTTCCTTTTTTTTTGCCGATTCTCCGGGTGGCAACTAGACAACGGTGGCCAAAAGGACCGTGATGTCATCCGGCTTGCCACCCGACGCCTCGATGTTGAGTTTGCGGGCATTCTGGCTGAATGGCGAATCGTGGGCCGGATTGAAGCTCAAGGCGCGAGCCATCAAGGCCACGGCATTGGCGGCCATCTGCAGGCGTACCGCATCCGAAACGCCGGACATTTCGCTGAGAACTTCAATGAGAAAGCTCTCGGGTACATTGTCGTACACGCCATCGGTGGCCAGGAGGATGACATCGCCGGGCTCTACGGGAAATTGCATTGTGTCCGCCGATTCTGGACCATCGGACACGGCAGTGTCAAGGTGATACGGCGGTAAAACGGACAATTGATAGGGGGTATTGAAGTGGTGCTGCTGTTCCAGCGATCGACAGGCGACGGCACCAGATCGCACCACCAGAAAACCACTATCACCGAGGTTGGCCGTATACAGGGTGCTATTCGCCCGATTAAGGGTCAAAATACAGGCCGTACAGCTGCCCACAACGGGGCACTTTTGTCCAAGCAATTCACAATAGGCTCGGGCCAGAAGTAAGTCCGGTCTTTGGGGCACCATGTCCTTGCTGAGCGATAATCGTTCGCAGGATCGCATGAGGAACATGCTAAACTCACCGGGATCCACGCCAAAACTCCGCCAACCGCCCACGCCATCGGCCACGCCCATTGTGTCCGCCTGCGTATTGGAGGTGGCAAACCAGGCATCCTCACCGAATTTCCCACGACTGTAGTGCGGATATATGACCTGATCCTTGGCAAATCCGCAGGCCACGCTCACAAGTCGCGGAAGTCGCAGAAAGTCTCCTTCGCCGCCAGATTTGCGAATTGATTTCTTGTCGTTAGTCATTCTACGGCAATGATAGTTCCCTTTATGCCCATCATCGTCATCATCATCTTTATCCTGGCCATTCGGAGGCAACTCTTGGATTGTTCCACCCCACAAACGGCACACAAACTTACCACTTTCATGGGTCAAAATCATGGCCATCTCGACCAGCTGAGCACAGCAACTGATCAAGTATTGCTGGATCGTCCGACAAAAGCCAGTGCCTCCAATATCCATACGGAAATCCACGTCCAACGTATTCATCGTCTGCGATTTTTTTGCACAAAATGCTATGTATTTGTAAGCCAATGAATAAATTGGGTGAGCTATTCAAACGAAGGCCGAACGAAAACTGAAACTTTTAAGGCCAAATGTCAACTTGAACTATTTTGGGTTAAGACAAAGCCTAGTTTGGTCTGCACAAGATTTTGACAAAAATGTGTTGCAATATTTGTATTATTCGACTAAAAACTATTTAAAGTGCAATCTTTCTAAACAAAAAATTATTATAATGTAACATAACTACATATAGCTATACAAAATACATATATTATTAAAATAAATTGAATAAAAGTTTAAGCTAACAATAATTTTTTATTACAACCAGGACCTTTTGTTCTTGCTCGTGCTAAGCTTAAAAAGGGTTTGAAACTATTAAATTCCGAAAGTTCTTTAAGCTCAAATTCTATTTTCAGATTATCATAAACACAAGTTTAAGATCCGCCAAAAAATATCAATAAATATGTGTTTAATATTCCACATTATTTGGAATATAAGTTTTTTTAAAGGTAATGCCCTTAGTCCAATCACCTCAATTGATATTTTAATTCTGCTAAATTGTCTGTAATAATGGGGAAATGGGAAACCGATACTGAGTACTTCAGTGGGCTGTCCTTATCCTTTCCCATTTGCCCAATTTGGCGAACAAAAAACCTCTGGAAATGAAGGCCTGGCCTCAACTCAATTATGCACAATTACGGACACAAACAGATAGCAAGTGGTGCCACATGGGAATGCCCTACCAACCGAAATTTCGGGGCTTCCCCCGAGGACTACTGTGCACTTTTTTGGTTGTCTGGTAATCGGAGGGAGTCCGCGGGGGAATCGGGGAAAATCGGAAGGCAGTCGCTGCAATTGCAGTTGCAGTTGCATTTTCAGCTGCAGTTGCAGATGCGCCACTTGAATTGCATGCATAGCTCATTGCTTGCCACTCGACTGGGATGAAGTGGTGCAGCTGCCGAATGGGTGGTGTAGGTGGTGCTGCACTCGAAAAAATATATAATTAATATTTGCATTTAATTTCATTTATTTTCAATGTTCCTCCCAACGCTACAAATACAAAACTTGTAATTTAATGCGCTAGTCACACAGGAAATTCAATAAGTTCTACCTATAGATTAGTTAAAGCTAGGTTTTATTGATATATATATATTTATATTATTTTGATATAAATTTGAAGTCATTATATACCCTTTTATTTGGCGATTTTAAGCAACACAAAATAGAATACCTAATCATTTCTTAGATACCCAAATTTGTATTCTATGATTTTTAATTCACAAGATATCAATACATTGAAACATATTTGATATACAATTAACATTGTATCGAAACAGTTTACTTAAGTTTATTATAGAGTCACTATTCATCATCGATATTATAAAGTTGATTTAAATTTTAGGTGATTTATATATATTATAGTTTATATATTATAGTTTTTAACATACATAATAATGGACATTTCTCCTCAAATCACATGCTTTAAAATAATGTCAGCAGTTCCTTTGTATCTGGATAAGTTTTATCATTATCATTCCGTCTGGAATTTTTAAAATTATTTATTTTATTTATATGTATGCCCTTACTTTTATTGTCTTGGTTTTTTACGATAAATTTTTTTGTCTGTGTGTTGTTTTCGAAATGCCATTGAATTGCTTAAATACTTTCATCGTCGTCATCGCTTAATGGCTTGCCTTTTTTGGTTGCCATGTCTACTTGGCGTTGCATTTGGTTTTCGGGCTTTGGGATTGGGTTTCGGGGTTTTGGGTTTTGGGGCTCCTCGCCCACCAAAAAATGACGATGCAACATATGCGAATGGCATGAATAAACGGCCTGCTTGAGCGAGTGAATGAATGAATGAATGAATGAACGAACGAACGAACGAACGAATCACTGGCTGGATGGCTGATATGAAGTGCAATCAATGCAAAAACGTTTTCAAGTGCCCAGCAATCCAAGCAGCCAGTTAGTCAGCCATCCAACCATGCCTACATCCATCCCATCCATCCATCCATCCATCCATCCAACCATCCATCCAACCATTTACCCAACCATCCAGACTAGACAATCCCAGGCACCAGATGCAATTTTCCCCCCAAAAGGCAAGGGCTTTGAGAGGGGGAATATTAGATGCATGTGCGTCGGTGTGAAAGGATTATTCACACACTATTGATTTCAAATTGAGTTGACTTCAAATCCGTCTGAATTGACAGCAGCCAGCACATGGCAACACATCCCATTCCCAATCTCATTCCCAGCCGGAAGTTGACTAATGAATTTAATTTGCAGTGGGTGTTGAAGCAAATAGAGCAGCTCACAGGAATCGCAGGAATCACAGGACTCGCAGGCTCACAGATCAGCGAACCAGGAACTGACTGATTGACTGCTCCACCCAATGTCCTGATATCCTGATGTCCTGATGTCTGGTGTCCCGATGTCCTGGTGTCTGTAAGTAGGCAACTGTTTCTGTTTACCCACTTGAGGGCCACCCCCCCCTCCACATCCCCGATGAATTGCCGCAATTGATTGACATTGACTGGATGCCGCAAATATCCAATACCCAAGGTTTCGGGTGCATTTCTGGTGCAACAGGAATTGCCAAAACACACAATGCTGTACGAGTTCACAGCAAGAAATAAATGCATTGGGTACTTATTTTATTGTTTACTGTCATATGAGTTTAGTCAATGTGCTTAATATGATATCAAAAATAAAGAAATTTATATCATATTGAAGATTGTTGAAGATTGATAAATATTAGTTTCAATGTTTATAAAAAATAGTTAAAGAAAATTATTAAGAATAATTGTTAAAAGTTGTTACAAAGTTGAAAAATGTAATGAATTTAGTTTAAATATTGTCTTATAATATTATGATCAACATGTTATATTTTATTTTAAAAGGCACTTCATATCCAAAGCACTATAAGGGTTTGAAAAATAACCATAAGCAAATAAAATTTAAGTATAAATTGCATGTCTAACCAGACTTTGTGAACGACAAACCAAGAGTCCTGTAGTTTTGGTCAGTGCTTTGGAAATGCCAGACAAAACGGTTGATTTTCAGAAGGACAAAGGACCTGGCCACAATTGTTGACTGGCCAATGATCAATTTAATAGGAAAACAATATTGATAGCCGAGGAGGACCGCTTGGCAGGAATTTCCTGTCCATGGACAGGATGCTCGAGGAGCGGAAGTGTTGCGGTTTTTGGGTAAATTCCGGGGGCTCGAGCATACTCCATACTCCCTATTCCAGAGTTTTGTTTGTTTGCCCGGAAAACTTGGCAAACTTTCGGTGTTGTGTTGTAACTAAATTTTCGAGAGGACAAAGGGCAACACTTTCACTTCGTCTCGGGGAACTGAACTGAGCCCGCTTTCTCTGTTTGGTTTCTTGTGGTTTATTATTCACGCCTGAATTGATTGTAAATTAAAGTTTGTGTCGTTGTGCATTTTGAGGTCAGCCTATGGCAAAGTTTTCTTTTGTGTGTGCACTCGGGGGATCTTGGGTCCTCGGTGGTCCGGCCTTTGTCCTTACTATTCCAATATGTGTGTGTGTGTGTGTGTGTGTGTGTGCTTGGTGAAGTCCTGTGTGAAGTCCTGTAGTCCTGGGTCCTTGATGCCCGGCCATATTAGAAGCCAAAAGGCATTCGAGTGCACATAAGACGATTACACATCATTTAACCGTCGCACATTGCAAAACTATGGGGCAAAACACCCAAATTTCCCACTCCCCGCATCCTCTTCTAAACTCCAGAGGTCCTGTGTAATTGTTGCTCCTTCTTTATTGACTGCTGCATATTGATTATAGCGCCCGTCGCCTTGGAGTTTCCTTCCCAAGTTCATTTTCCTTCTTGACTTGACTTGATTGCCGGCATTTGTCGTTCTTGTTTAAAATTCAATCGCTGCACTCAACTGTGCACGAAATGTATTCATGTGTGTAACTTTAGTTTGGGGGCTTTCGGATTATACATATATACTATTTATTTAATACGTAGGGTTGAATGTGTGGTCATTTCGAGTTAAAATTAATTTGGTGTTAATAAAGTGAAAGTGTGGACCTGCTTTTAGCCTTTGTCTGCGTTATGAAAACTTTAAGAAGGCTCAATTTGATTGCCCCTTGAAAACTTTAAAGAGCCCATTTTGATTGGACTTTTTGGGGGGGCCTAAAAATGATTATATTAAAGATTTGTTTCTATATTTAAACAGTTTAAAATAGTTTTTTGTGTTAGTAATACAACATGGTAGATTACTTAACTAAATCAATAATCGTTAAAAATCTTTTTTAATCGAGTTAAGCATCAGCATAGCTTATTTAAATTTGTACACCTTTAAATCTTTTTAGTACGTATAAGTGTTTGAATTCTCCAGCTACAGCAAGATATTCGTTTTTATTTTGTTATATAAATTAAATCTTAAGCATAATTTACTTTTAACGTGAAATGGATCAATGGATCATCGTATCTTGCTGCTAAAATCAACGAAGTTGTGCTGCTGGATCGGAAGATTCGAGTCGCAGTCGATCTTCTCGAACTTAGATGGACTTTTCAGTGCCTAAATTTATAATGCTCTCCAAATTTAATATGTAAAACATATAAAGCTACGAGTTTTATTGCACTATCCAAATGCGTAAACATTTTTAAGTATGTGGTATGATGGTAAGCGTAGGAGCATTTATTTTGTTTTTGTGAAACACTGCTGCTAATGTTCTGTCCACAGAGAGGACCGTCCACCCCTCTTTTGCGATCCTTTTTCCTGTCCCACGCACGCCACAAAGTACCTGTTCGTTGTGTACTTGGGTCAACTGAACTGCTTTCTGCTGCTCCTTAAGCTGCCAAACTTTTGCCACTTGGCCACAGTGCTCGTTGAAAATGCGGGAATGGGCTTTACCGGGCTAAGTTAACCCTCTACATAAATTTTCCAAATTTTAGTCAGCTGCTTGTAAGGAAATAGTTTTCAAAATTGTATATCTCTTAGATTTGAATTTTAACCAGAGTACACTCGCTGTTTGTCTTTTAACTTTAAAGGTTTAATCAAGATTGTAAGTAAAAAAGATTTAAGGACCTTTAAAAGAATTTATTACTTAGCTAGAACAATTTGAATAAAATAATTCGACAAAATCGGTGTTAAAGTGTTTCTAGGAAAATAAATTTGAAAAATGTTATCTTTTTCATGCCCTTTCGTTTCTGACACTCTTAGTAGAAAACATATCTACGATTTTCCAAAGCCAACCTTTGTATCCTGAATGCAAGAACTATATTAATGCAACGATTATTCATTAATTCATTTATTTGCCAAATGAACTATACATTTTTTTGGAAAAGTAGACTCAAAAATTATTTTGATGATAGATTTACCATAAACTGCAATACACTGATGGAATTTCGACTGCCGGTAATTAATGGGTTAAGCGGCGAGGAGCAACTGGCCGATGTCCAGGCATGCACTTGACGGTTGTTCGCCCAGCTCCGAAAAATGCATCTCCTTTTCCGGTCTTCTTGGACATCAAAGTTGGCAACTTTCGAGTTGAGGAATTTTCGACAAGGCGACTTGGAGAAACTTTTGTTACTTTGGGGCGGAGGATATCGGGGGAAAGATACCTGAGAAAAGGACGAAGGACTCGCCACCGAAAAAGAAGGTGGAATTAGAGGCGGCAAGTTTAATTGTTGTGTGTTGTCCTGCCTTCTGAGGGCGAGGACGAGTAAGAGTACGAGTACGAGTATAAATTCAACCGGCGCTCAGGTGTCCTTAGTGGTGTTCTAATTACTAACAAACTTAATTTGCTACAAGTTATTTTCTTGCGGACACCGCTTACTTGTCCTTCCACCCATCTTTTTATGACCATGGCCACTTGACTGGCCACTCCTTTTCGGCCAGGACACTTAAGCCCACGCGAATCCTGGCCTCTTCTCCTCGAAAGCTCGCTGCGCCAAAAAGGACGAAGAATCCCCGAAAAAGAATAAACTCAAGAACTAAGACGACAGGTAGGCCTCCGTAAGTAATTCACTGGCATGCAAATTAGTGCGAGTCCAGGCTCAACATTTCGGTATAGTTTTTGAAATGTATTGCAAATAGTATTTTATGTAAGTCCTAGGCCACATAAAAGTTGACAATAAATACACAACTGAAGGTTGTCAACATTTCATTGACGCTCAACTCATTTGAAATATAATAAGGACCATTATAATATAAATATGTATTGATGTATTCATTTTAGTATTTGATGCATGACCTAGCTTGTTTAGTAATTAAATAAATAATATTATTCTTTATTACAAAAGAACAATGAATGAACAAGGTTTTTAAATTATATAAGGAGTTCCAAGGGTAGTATACAAAAGTAATGCTCGAAAGTGAGCTGTCAAAAATTGCATGTCATATTTCCAAATGGGACTTTCTGTTCAATTTAATTAATTATTTAAAAACTCAAGAAATGAATGGTAGTTTAGCAATAATCAAGAAAACTTTCCAAAGATATAGATAGTATAATTATATAAATCAAAAACATCAATGGATTTGCAGGGATTTTAGAGCACATAGCTAAGCAAATAATTTTATTATTTTCGGCTATTAGTCACAGCTCTTTGGCCAACCTAAGCACCATTTTTTCTGAGGGCAACCACAATCGGTGTTAGCCGCCTTCTCTGGGCCAAGACTTCGAACGATTCTCCGTTGGGGACCCAAGATGAACTGGCCGCAACCGGCACTTCATTGGCCAAGATGGCAAAGGGGGCAGTGGATATGATTTTGGGTATGGTCGGGGTCCAAGTTTGAGGTCCTGGGCCAGTGTCTCAGGACCTCGAAGACGTGGCCTTCTCCCCGTTGTAAATTATGCGCTTTGGCTTACAAATTGCATGTGCCTGGCAGCATGAAGCATGTGGCCAGTCAACTGGCTGACTCCGGCTCCTGCCGAGGATGCTTCTTTACTGTCCCTGACTTGGCATCGTCACCTACGTCCAGCTCCTTTGGCCTTCTCTTTTGTCTATTTTTAACGCCTTTCCAGTGGGTAAATTGATTTTGGGGAGACGTTTGCTGCTAGAAACCTTGCCAAAATGTATTTGCTTACTTCTTAAACAGTTTAAAAACCATACAATATTAATTGTTTATTAAACTTTAAGAAGACTTGGTTATCTTAAAGATATTGAGGCCTAAAGTCTGGTGATTATGTAGATATTAAATACATTTTTAAAGTTATTGTATTCAAATGAAATTTATTGTTCATATCTTCTTAAAAACCGTGACTTTTTCGATACCACAAGCAGACCTTGCTATCATAACTAAGTTGTTTCTGAATGTAGTGAGTTTGAACTTATCGTGGGGATCTTCAACAAGATTAGAAGCTATTTTATTGCAGTTTCCTAAGATTGGACACAAATTTCATAAAACTATTAATTTACTCATTCGGAATAATTTTTTTTAAGGTAGGTAATAAATAAGATAATAAATATTCCATTTTATATTCTAGGGTATTAGGAAGTGCGGTAAGAGGGTATACTTTGTCTACCACTACCACTTGCATCCACAGCCTCCAACAAATGCGTGGTCAAAGTTGTTTGCATGTCCGAGTTCGTAGCCGGGTATTCAAATGAGCGGCTTGCAACTTGTTTTTGCGGCAACTGGGCAACTTCTTGGACATACTTTTGCCCCCCGACTCAAAGGCAAATATTTTATGCTTTACGTGGTTAGGTTACTTGAGAAATTACGTGGCTTCCTGCACACTTTCCATCCCCATTTGCCCGTTTTCATTGTCTTTTGATGGTGCTGGTGGACGGAGCCCTTTGGTTGCATTAGTATTTAACATGAGCTGCCTAAAAGTATGCAAAGTTATTTCTTGTGTGCGTCTTGTCTTGTGGGTTAACTAAATGCTACATCCTAACATTCTCACAACCTAACTCTAAACGCATTCAACTTGACTTTTTATCCCCAAACACACCCCCATCACCCCCTTTTGCAGAATGCTTTTGTGTACTTAGCGCAACCGCAAAAAAAGTTGTAAAAATCGTGTAAAAAATTCTCGCACACAAAACGTGCAAAATGCGTTTTAGTTGTGGCCACACTGGACTCTAATAATTTATTTTAATGATAATGCATGCTGGTCATTCAGAGTGGTCAGCCGAAAGTTACTTTCTGGGGTTAAGTAACCGCGATGGTTGACTGACTGAGTGTCGCATTCCGGGCCCAAGAAAAAAAAAAAAAAAAAAAAAAAGTTTTTAGAGCAAAGGCAAAGGCACCCCAAAATGCCCACTTCCCGAATCAGTTTTCGGGGATATTGTTCGCCTAATGATATGCCAGAAATATTAAGTGCTCGACACGCCCACTTGGACAGTTCGAGGGGGCGTGTCGCATATAGCGCATCATTGTAAAACCCTTTCGGCAAGACAAGTGCAAAGTTTTCCCCACAAAAACTTTTATGCTACCATAAAACTTGTGCATTTTTCTACAAAACAAAGAAGAAACAACCAGCTAAAAAAAAAAAAAAACAGAAAAAATAGGATAAAAAAACCCGAAACAGAAACAGAGTTGGTCTCACTTTTTTTTTGTGTCCCTTCCATTGCTTAAAACAAAATGCAAATAAAAAAGTTTTTCCCTAGGAGGGCCGCTTTTTCCACGCTTTTTTTTATTACTTTTCTAAGAACTACTTGGGCTGAAGGTTACTTTGGTTTTTAGGGAGGGGAAACCACACAGTTGGGTGGGTGATTGGTGGGTGGTTTAGCCCCTGGGCCAAAAGCAAAAAGGTTTGACCCAAAAACCTGGAGGGGGAATTGTTCATTAACCACATTTATGGTTTCTTGTTAAATTTGTGCAATAGTCAAAGAAACATTTCCATGCTGCAGAATTAGTAAAGCTTTTCTTTAAATGGTGTTGTAGCTTTTAATACATATTTACTTTATTTTCAATATTTATTTATATAAATATTGCCAGTAAAAAGCCTCAAAGTGGGCTTCTAAAATTATATTTACTATCTTTTATTTCACTTTAATTAAGATTACGTAATTTTTTAGTGTCTTATAAGCTGATAGCTATGGTATAAAAATTAAATTAAAAATTGCAGTGCTAAGAAAAATATATTATTAATTTGAAGTATGCAACTTCTATATATGTAACATTTTAATTGAGATAATTGGTGATTTATTCACGACTTTGAGGGATTGAACGTTTCCCTATCTCCGCTTGATCACATCGATTTTTTGGAGAGGAACACGTTCCCAAAGTTGTCGAAATCCAGCATCTACTTTCCGAGGATTAAAATGAGCGACAGTGTCCCTGGTGTAACCAGTTAAAATTCCAGGCACCTCAGCGGAGGATTCCTCGTCAAAATGATGAGCCCCATCGTTGCCCAAAGTGCCTTCATCCATAAACTCCAGGGCAAGAGTCTACATACAGAAAAATTGGATTAAAGTCTGTCTATTAACTGGTAATTATTATAACTTCATATTTTAGGAACTACATTTCACACTTTTCACAATTGTTGATTTTATTTGATTTTATTTAAATAAAATTATAAATACAAAGGAAATGAATTTAAAAGCTTTGTGCAGTTTAGTATGTAATATAATTAATTCTTCACGAAAATAACTACAATAAAAAGTTGAGTTTGTTCTATAATTGAACAAAGTATTTTTCACAAAGAACACACTTTATATCTGAACTTAGAATTGATTGGTATCAACACAATTGCTGGAATTATATTATTTTAGTTCAATAAAAAAAAAACACCAAGCAAAGTTAACCCAATGGATTTCTGCTGAACAGTAATATAATAACAAAAAAAATTCAACATTATTCTACAGTTATAGTTTGTTGTTTATTAATTATTTTCACAATTGATTCACTTTTCCCCATTGATTTTCCACTCACCACTTGAATGGAAATAGCGGCCACTGCCAGAAGAGTTAATAAGTTAAAGAGAAAAGCCATGACCAGAAACGTCGAAATGCAAAGAGTAGGTTATGACGCGAATTTTATTCGGGGTTTAAAAATGCCTCACAACATTTTACGCTGAGCGGCGAATGCGAACTGAAGCCGCAAAATCGCCAGCGGATTGAGCACCGCAAAATCGGCTGAAAGGCATTATAATCGGCGCCCCACGTGTGCCGCATAACGAAAAAGCTCCGTTGACCCTGCCCATACAATATGGTATATGGTATATAGTATAGGTGAACAGGGTTTATTTTTAGCCCACGGCGTCATACCCTCCGCCCACTTCTCACCTTTCCGATTCACCTGTCGGCTCTGTTGACTCATTCAATTGCCCGCTTTAATGATGGAAATTGCTTTTTTCATACCGCTGCCGTCGTTTGATTTGTGTTTTAATTTCCATCAATGGCTGTGCGAATTATTGACCAGAACGTGGTTGAAAAAAGCACTGAGCAATTTGTGTGTGATGTATGCGCAAAAAGTGTCAGTTGTCATGTTTGGCTGTGAATTATTGGCCATTGGTGGTCGCACATTAAATATTTATTCAATATTGTTCATGGCTTAAAACTCATATATAAAGTAATTTTCCACAAAAAAATTAATTAATAAGCTTTAATACATATTTTAAAATACCTCTTAGTGCAAGGTATTTAATTTTATATTATTTACTAAATAAAATCTTATATCGCAAATGTTATTGACATTTTTTTACAAGAGATAAACAATTCTGATTTAGTTGTTATGATCTAGAGATCATTTCAGCAAGATGTTTGCAAAGCAGAAAAGGAGAATCCGTCCGTCCGTCCGTGCGTCCGTTTCTAGTCTATCATTTTTTTTTTTGAAATTCTTTCGGGCACCAGGAAATGTGAGGAAATATTTAAATGTTTATTATTAAGATAACACCCTAGGATTCACGATTTACATTAGGGTCACGACTTAAAACCTCTAAGCTTATCTTTATAACATTGTGGTGACCAGGAATGTTTTATTTTTCGTATAAATACCACTCCTTGGAGTTAAACAAAATCAGTTTTCAGTAACACCTAGGACAAAATGAAGGTTACCATTGCAATTATTGGACTTTTTGTGACTATCTTCTGCAGCCAGCAATTGCCGATAATGGCAGTAAGTTCAATAACATACATACATACATTACATATTCTTGAAAAATATATTTCCTGTCTAGTGTGGTATCACAGATGTGTATAATAAGTTCGACGAATATTGTATATCTATCACCACCCATGCTAATCCGTCTCTTTGCTTCAGTTTCAATGAGGTAAGATGACAGCTTCACATTTGTTTTTAAATATTCATTCTAATCACATGTTATTTCAGATCAAGGAAACTGGCAAATTCCATTCTTGGTTCCACTCTGATCCCGTAAGATTTTGTGTATTTCCATTTTTAAATGAATTTTGCAACACATGCAACATTTTGCCTACTTGGGTTCCCCCACCGACTAATATTTTGTGAGGCTTACAAATTCTACAACAGCAAATCAACCGAACCAGAATATTGAATATATATAATTGCACTTAATCTTTTTGTTTTTGCACTTTGGCATGCCAGCCCCTTAAATATATTCCCCAAGCATTACAAAATCATTTTTAGTACTTATATAATTAAAAAGGAAGAGGAAAGGGAGTAAAATTATATGCACTTATTAATTAAGCAATAAAAGGTTTTAATAAATAAATAAAAATAAAACATTATGAGACATTTTCTTGAATTCTCGGTTTTTAATCGAACTTTTCGCTTTAAATGTTTAATTTCAGCTGCCTGGTAAAATTGAATAGAATATAAATAAAATATCACATTTTTTGTCACTATGAAAATATTTCTTAATTTAAGGTATTATCAATTTTTCAGTGAAAAATGTCTAAATCAAAGAATATTAAAACTAGACAGAATATTTTACGACATTTGGTAGAATGTACAAACTCTTTGGCTTGCGTTACCAGTATTAATATATATACATTTTGGTGAAGAATTTTGTCTTTATGTGAAAAAAATGTACTATCTTAAATACATTGTTAGCCTCGGTTTATTTATTACCCGTTTTACTATGTTTACAAATTTTAGATACTTTCTTGCCTTAAATATTACTTCGTTTTTGCTAAAATCCATTTAAAATTGAATACCCTTGCAGCGAGTATTATAATATTAGTCAGAAGTTTGCAACGCAGTGAAGGAGACATTTCCGACCCTATAAATTACATATATTCCTGATCAGTATCACTGTCCGTCCGTCCGTTTGTACGCAAACTAGTCTTTCAGTTTTAAAGTTATCTGCATGAAACTTTCCCAAAAGTTGTCTTTCTATTGCAAGTAGTACGTAATTTTATTATTTTCAAGAATAATTCATTTTTGCATTACCTGCAAAGGTATATGTATTTCGGCTGGCCGAAGTTTGCTTCCTTTCTTGTTACAAATTGTATTTCGTTTAAAGTTTACCTATTAAATAGATAAGTTTGTATTGTAAGAGTTTGCTTGAATTTCACGATTCGTATTAAAAACACGACTTCATTAACTTTCTTATCGGCAGAGAATGGAGTATAGAAATTTTTCATATAAATATCGTAGTTCATAGCTTTTTAAAGTCAGTTCGAATACTTTCAAGCCAAAATGAAGATTTCCATAGCCGTTCTGGTACTTTTTGTGGCCATCTTCTTCAGTTACCAAACACCTTCAATGGCAGTTAGTCCATTAATAGATATATTTAATAAATTCGTATTCATTTTTGACATATTTCAGTTGCTCTCCGCATTTTCGACACCCACTGTCTGCAAATTGTTTCCCAATTTGCCGTTTTGCAATAATCCTCCATCCCAGGATAATGGATCAAGTGGATCAACAGCATCCACCGAATCAAGTGCAGGCAGTGGACCTACAACTGCGGATACTTTAAAACCGAGTAATGAAACAGTCCCTAATTGATTTCCAACCATGGACTTATAAAACGTGGCTTTTACTGAAATTGTGCAATTTATCTATTTGTTTTTAAATTCTGGTATGTCAATTCCTTAAATAAATAACCCACGAGCATTGCAAAAAATTTGATTTATAGTCATGGAAATTCAATTGAATAGTATCTGTGTCTTTATTTTAATAATTTTTAAAATTAGATTATTTAGCTCAAAATGTGTTGTTGGTTTTTATTTGCCAAAAAGTCTTTACTCTTCCCCTCCCGCTCTTCCCAAAATTTGTATTCTTATTGGCTTATTGCTTCTCAAAATACTTTTATCCACCTAATTAATTTACTGATTTATTAGACAAATGAAAAGGAAAAGCTCTTCCAAATTACTTAGTTCTCCCATCATTACGAAAATTTCCATATAGTTAATCACTCGGCTGGATTCCACACACCTTCAAAGCGACTCCCGGTAAAAATTCAATTAATCGCGAGCTCTATCGGCGAATGCAATCGCTTATGAACTCATAAGTACATCAGCGTCCCCCATTTCCGACCTTTATAATACACACAGAGCTCCGTATTTAGTGGACATAGTTAAAGATCGTTATCCAATTAGTCAAAAGCTCGTGTAATAAATTGCCCGAATTAAGGTGCGGAATTTTAATTACATAATTTACGCGTGCGTTGCGTGGCCATCGAAGATGCGAGGGATGGTTACATTAGCCCACCCAATCGGGATTCCTACCTGACTAAAAAACCTAAAACAAAAACCAAATAAAACAAAACGAAACGGAATAAAACAAACAAGTCAAGCGCAGTCAGAAAAGTGCGTTTGATAGCTCATCTTAATAGAAAAGTACACGCAATTTGGGTGCGCGGGCGGGTCATTAGAAAAATGACAGTAATAACAATAATTATGAATTTTATCCGATTAACGGGAAGAGCCAACTATAACGGGTGTACATATTCAAATATTTAGTGCAATGCGTGCCATTGAACAATTAATTCTTATCTAGTTGGGCTGATGCAACAGTCCCTTCGACTTTTTGACCCCTGACCCCTGACTCCTGACTCCTGACTTCTGAGTGCTGACTGCCGACCTCAGTGGCATTTCTCACATGTCATCGTGCCCAAAACTGCGAGAAAATACCATTTGAAATTATAGGAACCTTCTTTAAATGAAACTCATTTCAACATTTTATTTCTATGTTAAATATCAATTTATAACTTGCAAAAAAATGTTACAGCTTTTAATCTTGATAGAAATTGCCCAAATTAAAAATGTAACAAAAAATAAGTCAACACAATTAAGTGTTTTGTTTCTTTAAAATATATATTTACAGTTATAATTATTACAATTTTCACCAAAAACTTGAAAGTAAATACAAAGTGCACAGAAATATTAAAAACACTTTTTAACATAAGTAAAAGTATTTTTTTTTATTATTTCTCAAGTATCGTTAGCTTATTAAGTAAAACCCTATAATCTTTAAAATGCTGTTGCTTATTTTTAAAAAGTTTTAATTTGTGTCAAGAAGAAAAATAAAATCATCTTAAAAAAACAATCATTATTAATTTTTAGATATAAAAATAAAATTTGAATCGATATTTGGAATAGCGAAGCTTCAATTTAAAAACCAAAGAAATCTAAAATGAGAATTTAGGTGGAAAGCCTTATATTTTTCTCTCAGTGCACCGTCCAACTGTGGGGCAATTGCGTGTCAAATGCGCTCAATTTTGTTATGACAATGCGATGTAATTAGGGGCCACGCATAGGCCCGATGACGATGCCAAAGCCCATAATATATGAGTCCCGCTTCCACTTCCACTTTCCACTTTCCACTTTCAGTTCCACAGTTCTAGCGGCTAATCGCCATCCCAGTTTTTGGGTGTGTTTCGCGCACTTGATAAATATTGTAAACGGCAGGACCCATTACATGCCTTTCCCACTGATGATGACCGAAGTGTGAATGACAGTGGCTCGCTAAAAAGGGGGTGGGATTGTGTGAGTGGGGGTTCTTTGGCGGGGTGCGAGTGGACATTTGCATATGTAGAGTGTCACTGCGGCAGGGAGTGTTTCCAGATATAATTGCTGCAGCCTTAGGAAGTTTCAACGGAAATGTACTGGGTTGGTTCTCTGCTATAAAATTGCTCTAAGTTCGATTCCAGAGGAGACATTTTTTCCCGTGTCAACATTTTTAGAGACTGTTTTAATTTAGGCTTTTAAATGATTTCAATCTTAATTTATTTAGTAAATATACTATTTTTTTTTTAGTTAAACATTTTTTTGATTAAAATTATTATATAGAAATTAGGATGATCAGATTTTACAGATTAATAATTTAAAATCAACATATATATTTAATAAAGGACAGAAATAGGCGCAAATCTAAATATATTTTTTTTAATTTACGCTTCTTATTTTACATTTAATTTTATTAGCATTTAAGCAGAAATGTCCTCTGCCTAAAAGTGTGCAATTAACCATTACAAAAATGAAAAAAACGTCTATATATTATTTGTTTCTATTTAGTGTATAGCAGCAGGATACATAATCGCAAGCGCACCCAAAAGAGGCTTAGGAAAAAATGGAGTGTGGGAAAGTCGGGGCAACTAATTAAAACCACTTAACAAATGCTTTCTCAACTGTAAAGTTAGCTATAAACAACGAACCACACACACACACACCTGCAGAGACACATATGCAACTTGAAACAAAATTAAAAGGCAAATAATTTTCATGGCATTTCCCGAGCATCAGGGACGAAAAAAAAGAGGAAAAACACTCGCACACGGGGCAAAGAAAACAAGAAATTCCAACATAATTCCAAATAATATTACAACACCTGCGAAACGGTTTTGAGTGGCCCATCAAAAGTGGGGGACGGATATATATATATATATATATATATATATATATTAGCACACACATATGTGAGCGGAAAAAGGGCTTTTTCTTGAAAAATTGCTCCACTGGAATTAATTAATTTGCCGTTGACGCTGCAGCGCAAAAATTATATATATATATAAATATATATAAAAATGAGAGAAAAATCAGTCAGCGAAATCAAAAAAAAAGATATGTTCAAAAGCACCCACGCATACAATTCGCAAAGCAATAGACGAACTTAAATGGCGCTTTGCGAAACTTAGTAAAAAAAAATATTATAAGTCAATCCATTAAAATAAAAAATTTTTTTTTGCCTGCTTAGGAATACAACGTCCTATAAAATATAATTTCGCATTTATTGCAATGACACAATTCTAATACGAAATATGAATTAAAAATTTCATCATTTTACAGCTAAATACACATATATAAAATGATATTTAAATTAACGTTAAGCTTACTCACTTTTGTTAAGCCGACCTACCAATATTTAACTTCCTAGGAGTTTCTAGGTAGCCAAGAAATATATTTTTTAAAACATATTTTAATATGATTTAAATAATAAAGGTAGCGCATTCCTAGTATTTGCAGTATTCATTTGGCGAGTGGCGTGAATAAAAATTCACTGGGTACCCACTGCAACGCATTTTCAAGGTGCAAAACGCACACAATTTTTGATTCTGATCTGTATGTGTGTGCTGGAGTGTGTGTGTGTGGGTGCCAGTGCATTTCAGTGTGTGAGTGTCTACAGATGTGTAGTGGCACTTGCTGCTCATTTTATGCTTCGATTGCCGCTGAAGTGCAGACGCTTTTTGCCACAGCTGAAGCTGAAACCTGAAGCTTCCAGGCATCTGCATTTTGCATCAAATTTTTTAGCTAGAGAAAAGAAGCCAAAAATATATAAAATCTCCCTCCTTTTAATAGTTGGAATACCCCGATTCTGTTGTGGAAAACCTTTAAAATTGGCCATTTTCTGTGATTAAATTATTTTTGGACATTTTTCTGGCTCCAAATCTCCATAAATAAAGTTAAAAGCCAGACTTTTGGCTAAGCGATTTATTTTGGATACGTTCAAACAAAAAACTGCCAAAAACCCGCAAAAATCATTAAAACAATTTAATTTATATTTGGCAAAGTCAGAAAGTTCTAATAATGTGTTTTGGTGACGCCATTAAATATTTGCGAGCTTTGTAGAATCTAACCTCAATGTGGTTCTACGAATTAAACCAAGATTAAAATCGGTTACATACCTGCAAGTTTTGGGTCATTTCACAAGCATTGAAGCAGATCAAAGCGAAGCACTAAAATCCAGTAATCGACCATGAATGAATCTTGATAAGAGAGGGTCTATAAAACAGGTGGGTCCACCAAAAACCGTAGCACAGTTGGTTGACAATCTACGCAATGGAATACTCAGTTTTTGTTTTTCTGGCGCTCACTCTGGTCCTATTTATGGGTCAGAATTGTTGGGCTGCTCCCTCTTCGGATGATTTGGCAAAATTTGGGGAAATGGAGCGAGTTATCAAGGAGCTAACGAGTTCTATACTGGCCCTGAGTGGATCTAGTCCTGGTAGGTATTTACATAACTTAATTTGTATTTGTCTTATGTCTATTTTATTTTCAGGCTATAGTTCCGGTGGTGGAAATGCCAACAGTGTTTGGCCGGAAGATCTTCAGGCTTAATTTTCGGACGATTTTTGGTAGCTCTGGCTACTAAATCGTTTTTAGCAGCTCTGCAGTTAAATATCACTTTTTTTTTTTGGAAATAAATAAATAAAATATCTAGTACAGGTTTGAAAGTCAATTGCTTTCTATATATTTTTAGGTACAAAATGAAGAAGAAGGAGGTGAGTGGATCTGAGTTCATAGCTTTTTTAAGCATAACAATTTTTGCTCTACAATAGAGACAAGTTTAATTCGTTGTTTTATGATCATTGCTTAAGAAAGACCTCTTGTGATTCCCTTTCTTCTTTTAAATCTTATTGTCTTTGCTTCGTTTGACACCCGCAGCCAATACAAAAGCAAATCCGAGTCCGCAATTCAAGTGCTGATCGTTTTTAGAGAAAACTGGAGTGCGGCGCAAGAGGGACGGTCACAAATTGCCGGCTAAATCTAATCAAGTTAATTTACACAGTCGCACCCCATTCCTCTTACACAGAAAAACATTTGGATAGTTTTTTTTTATGACTGTAGTACATTTAAAGGAAAGCCAAAAATAACTAATGGTAAAAATAAAAAGAATGACAAGATAATTATAAGCAAAAAAAATTTACTATCAAGTAATTTAAAGACAAATATTCGCTATTTAAGAATCAAGTAAAATCAACAATCTTTAAAGAACGTAAAGCACTCTTGAGAAACAGCGCATGTAAGTCTTAAACAGACATGAAACAACAATAAAGAAATGGTGCATTATTAAAAAAAAGCAAATATAACGAAAATGTAATTCGAATTTTTGAAAAGTTCGAAGCAGCAAGCAAAAGAAATGAAAGCGATTATGAGAAATATATCTTGAATATATCATAAGAATATAATATAATGCAAATAATTATACTTTTATTTCACATTATACTATTTATTCTTTTTAATAAGTACAGAGTTCCTTTTTTCACTGCATACTTTAACACCTCTGCAAACGTGATTTATTTTTAAAACAATTTTTGGGTATATGTTTGTTTATGAAATTTATTTAAATATTGTGTATATATTTCTTTTGGTGTACCCAATTTGCTCTCGAAATTGCTCGATCTGTGGATTTTCCAAGGCAAAGACAACGCGTTGGCTTAAGTGCCCTGCTGGCAACTCAATTTGCTACACAGCCACCGACTCAATTAGCCGATTGGGTGGTGCTTTTCAGGGGTTTCGACGGGCTTTGTTGGTGGTGCAGTGGTGCAGTGGCGCAGGGGTCTCAAGTCAGCTGGTCCGCCGGCCAGTCAGCTGTTGCTCCACATCCAGGCAAAAGTTAGTTGCCGCCGCAGTCGCCAAGCGAAAAGTGTGTGTGTGTGTGTGTTTGAGTGTAGTGTGTCATAATATCATTAATAAAAATATAAAACAATAATAGTCGGTGGTGTTTGGCGGTGTGTGCGGCATCAGCACAATTGCACTTCCATCTCACCGAGATCTGGAATCTGAAAGCTGAAATCCGAGCCAAAACCCACCAGTCACCTCTGATGCGTGCCTCCGAGCGGTGCGATCGGTGCGCTTTTCTTTGCTTTCATTTTTTTTGTCTGTGTGTTGCCCAGCCGAGTGCCGGAAAAGTGCCGCGAAAATGCACGTGGAGGAGCTGAGAGCCAGTCTGCAGAGCTTCGGCTGGCAGGACTATCTGGTCTTCTGCCTGATGTTGGCCATATGCGCCGTGATCGGGATATATTTCTGCCTGCAGTTGCGAAGGGAGTCCAGGAAACAGAAAACGCATGGCTCCGAGGAGGCGGCCAGTAGTGCTGCCTCCTATTTGGTGGGCGGCAGGCAGATGAAGATCTTCCCCATCACCATGTCACTGATATCCAGGTGAGTTCCAGCCAAAAATAGTACCTAAAAAATTGTAGAAGTTTTAAAATCACTTTGTAAGGAAAGTAAATAAAGTTGCGAGGCAATCGAAGTTTTGCCTAAAATACAGGTCTACCCAAAATCCATTTTTATATGTTGCAACCAATATTTGCAAAGTCATTTTCCCAATTTTTCTTTAAAATCCTGGTTGTCCGTCAAATTTCATTCAAAGATAAAGCATAAAAACAAAAAATTATAGTTATAAAAGATAAGTAATTATAATATCTAAATAAAATAAAAATGTGAAAAAAAGTCTTTGTAATAATAATAACCTATGATTTTGTTGTGCTCAGTATACGTTATTTGATTGTTATGATATTTGTTATCAATACTTATATTATACATTTTAAAAAATTATAAACCCTAAATATATTTTTTAAAAAAGTGAGTTTATGGAAATGACTAACAGCTTCATATATCTATTCATAACAAACTTAATGGGGATATAAGCCAACTCAATAAGAAAGAATTTCCATTTAAATTAAAGCACTTGCTTAATATATTATATAATCCAAATGGGAAACCCCTTCTCTTTGTTAAGTACTTTATGGGCCAGAGATAAGAATTAAGAAAGAATTAAATCAAGTTCCCCGGAATGAAAAAAAATGTTTTTCCTCGAACTGGAGAGCTCATCTGTAGATCCCAACCAGCCATTAAAACGACGACAGAGTGTAGGTCGCAGTTTGCTCCAGTTTCGACTCGTTATTGTCGGTCGCGTATTTTTAGCATAGTTCGTACAGTTTACAGCTTGCTCCTATCAACGCACCAAATCAAATTGTTTCATAATTAATAATTGGCTTCCACGTTCGCGGACGAACCGAGCTACCCGCATATGAGGGCATTCAAATTGGCGACGCTCAATTGGCGACTACAATTCCACTTTCGACTATCCACTTTCCGCTTTCCCGATTCCAAATCCCCTACGACTAAGAATATGTGGCGAAACTTGACTTGCCCGCCAGGGAATTGCGACGACATTGGTGCTAATTGAATTGTATAAAACGCACTTTGATCTCCCACAGATGCTGAATGTTTGAGGCTTTTTGCGAAGGTCAAGGTAGTTGTACACAGAAAGAAATTGCATGCAATGCGGCCCAACTTAACGAGTAATCTGCAAGAATTTGGTTTGAAAGCAAACTTTATTCTTATAAATTTTGTAAGGGCTAATTTTATATATCGAAGCAGGATCATCCTTTATTTTCGTACTTTAATTTGTGTACAATATTTGACCAAATGATACATTTTTTCTTCCAGCTTCATATCTGGAATCACGCTTTTGGGCACTCCCACGGAGGTTTATCTTTATGGTGCTCAGTACATGTACATTATGGGATCGCTGGTTCTGATGGGATTTTGCATGTACTACTTCTTCTTGCCGGTCTTTCACGAACTCAATTTGATATCCACCTATAAGGTGGGCTTTTAATTAAGCTGTTTAATTTGTCTTGATTATAACAATTTTAAATTTTATTTACAGTACTTGGAACAGCGTTATAATCGAAGTTTGAGGCTCTTTGGCTCGGTTATGTTCATTGTGGCATCGGTGAGTTTACTTTTATGTTAATAATGGAGACTATACCTAAGATAATTCCAAGGCAGTTGTATTAAAGTTTTAAAATATTTATACGTTTAAAGATATATTTGTTAAGAAACATCTGATTGTGTGATTAACCACTACGGGGAAATTTGTTGTTCATTTATTTTGAAAACAAATTTCTAAATACTACACTGATGAGAAAATTATATAGTAAATATAAATATCTGACTATTGAATTCAAAATTGTATAAGTTATATTTAAATTAGATTTTAAATCATAGTATTATTAACAATGCATATTTAATTGTTTAATTTAATATTTAAATATTTCAACTAATTTAAAATAGTTAGTATTTGACTTAAATATTTTTTATTATATTAAAATTTGATTTAAATTTAAATTTAAAATTTAGAAAATTGGAAAAAGAGATTTCTGAGCCTTGGGGACTTTAGTAAACATTCTATATGCTACTTTCTAAGTTATTTAATTTTCTTTTAGAAACTGAGAAATAATGCAAAGCATCACATATATATATATTTGTTTCCCCCCAGCTCCTTTGGCTGCCGATAGTGATCTATGTGCCGGCTATAGCTTTCAATCAGGCCACCGGAGTGAATATCCACATAGTGACGCCCATCGTTTGTGTGGTTTGCATATTCTACACCTGCATTGGAGGTCTGAAGGCGGTGGTTTGGACGGATGTCATCCAGACCATCATCATGTTCGGAGCGATGGCGCTGGTTCTGATCAAGGGAACCGTGGACATCGGAGGACCCGCAGTTGTTTGGCAGAGGGCCCAGGAAACGGCGCGTTTGGAGAGACCCAACTTCAGTGCGGACCTGACTGAGAGATATACGTTCTACTCCCTGGTTTTGGGCGGTGTAGCGCATTGGCTCAAGTCGAATGCGATCAGTCAGAACATGATCCAGAGATATTTATCGTTGCCAACATTGCGAGATGCCCGGATTGCCATTTGGACCTTCATAGCCGGCGTTTTGGCCTTCCTCATGATATGTGGCTATACGGGGCTTCTAATCTATGCCACCTATGCGCAGTGTGATCCCCTGGAAACCAAATTGGCCCAGAGAAACGATCAACTTTTGCCGCTTCTGGTGATGGATACATTCGGCGCGTATCCGGGATTACCTGGAGTTTTTGTGGCCGGCGTCTTCAGTGCCGCCCTGTCATCGCTATCGACGGGATTGAACTCACTTTCGGCTGTGGTTCTGGAGGATTTTGTGAAGACCTTTCGCAAGACTTCACTGAGCGAGGCCCAAACCGCTTTTGTGATGCGCAGTGTGGTCGTGGTATTTGGCGTTATTTTCGTAGCGCTCGTCTTTGCCGTCGAGAAACTGGGGGCAGTGCTGCAACTGACCATCACCCTTTCGTCGGTGGCCAATGGACCGCTTCTGGGAATTTTCACCGCCGGCGTTATGCTGCCATGGGTTAATTCCAAGGGAGCACTGCTCGGCGGATTCAGTTCACTGGTGGTTATGGCCTGGATGTGCGTTAGTGCCCAGCGGGATCTGGTCACCGGGGATCTGGTTTACAAGAGGAAGCCATACTCCACAATGGGCTGCAATTACACGTTCGCCGGAGAGCCGCGGGAGTTCGCCACTCTGGCGTTCGATGGAGACGTCAGGTGAGAAAAAGCTTGTTTCTTCTAAATATGCAATCAAAAATTCGTCAGTTTAAGAGGAAAATGAACACCTTTTTAGTCAACTAAAAATTTTAGGAAATTTATGTATTTAATCTAAATTTGTGTACCGAATCGGATCTAAAACTATTTGCTAGAAAGTAGATCTTGGGCGTTGACGTAGTTTTGTTATATTATTTTTATGAATAATCCCTTAAAACTTTATATTTCCTTTTCTGAATATCTTTCTTATTACACTATCTATATACTTAAGAAACACCTTAAAATGCTCAAGAATTCGCGTAGTTTTCTTAATATCACTCTTTTTCAACCAATTGCTTCTACATTTTGAAACCAAATCGATTCTAAAGTCTACAAGTTTTCGATCAGTTCCAGCCCAAGTGCTCCGTTCCAGCTGTACCGCATCTCGTATCTCTACTTCACGCTCTTCGGAGCGCTGACCACCATTATCGTGGCCCTGGTCACGAGTCTGCTGCTCCGGGAATCGGATCTGGACGGAGTGGATACCCGCCTGCTCACTCCATTTGTGAGGCGTTGGGTGGAGCGACGTCGCCACCGACGATCAGAGATCCCAGATCCTGGCCAAAAGGCCGGGAACAAACAGGAGACGAAAACGTGAAACGGGGATAAATATCGTAGTCCGGTGGCTAAGGAGATGGAGAAGGCTGACCGGCATCATCCTGGCAATGTTCCTTTTTGGTAGCTTAGCAAATATTTAAAATAAAACACAATTCATAATTATTTGGGCTCTCCTCGTGTGCCCTGTGCCAAAATGGGTTCAAAGCAGTTTCCTGCGCAGCTTTCTCTGTAATTAGAAAAATGCCCGCAGTTATGGCCCAGGATTTGAAAAGGGGTAACTACGATGGGTGGGGGTTTGATGAGAACATGACCCGACCCGACAAATCAAAGTGCTGGCTGCCCAAATAGAAGGAAAATCACAAAAAAACAACAACCCATGCAAAATTTGCATTATAAATCCGACGTTTTCTATGCTCTTCTGATTAAGCGAAAGTGAAAATTATAAATGGAAATCAATGAGACAAATATTCGAATCTAAAGTTTTTAATTTAAAACAAGCACAGAAATATTATGAAATATTTGCAACCATTTCATATAAATTACAACTTAAGGAACTAAAATCTTCAATTATATGTTAGCTAACTACTAAAACTTGGCTTAAGAGCCTCAAAGTAGCATAATATTGAGTTTGAATATTTTATAAGACTTTCCCTTTGATTACCAAGCCCCCAGAAATGGTATAAAAATAAGTAAGGGGATCAGAACTAGAGTGACCCCATTTCTGGAGTGAGGGTTCCGCTTTCAAGTGCCAGGCACAAAGGGTTGGGCAGTGAACTCTGTGTCTGGTCAAGGTCAAGTGGGCGGGGGGCGAGCCCAAAGGGTTCCGTTTTCACATTAGTTTTGCCCTGTGCCGTTAATTGAATATTTACTGCTTTTCATGTGTGGTCAGTCTGCATCCGAGTGCGCAACTATTTTGTTCGGGGTCACCAAAAACCCCCATTTTATTTGTATGTTTAGGTCGTTTATGCAGCAAATTGAATTGTTAATGAGCTGACAAATGTTTACGAAATTACTTTTTAGCCTCGGTCTGTGCAACTCCTTCATATATATGTGTATAATCCAGTTGGGCAGCAAACTTTTATCGATGATAATAAAGACGACATATGCTTCGGTATACAGGTAAAAACTTGTTACCCACTCATCCCATGGATTTAAGTGTCTCTTAATTAGCCGACTGCAAAAATAATTTTGCACAAAAGAGAGACAGCGGCGAAAATGTCATCAGAATGCATAATGACAGTTTCCGGACTGTGTGGGTTTTCAGTTTTTCTCCGTGTGCCTTTTTTTTTTTTTTTTTTTTGCCGTTTTTGAAAATCTGTACAAAAGCGGAGATGGAACAGGTGCGCCACCTCGCGGCATATTCAAAAACTATGACTATGCTGTATGCATGGCCAGTGACAGGGGTTAAGCGTTAGGGGTTAAGGGTCAGGGGTCAGGGGTCAGGGGTCGGGGGTTAAGGCGGGGGCACAGCGACAGTTGTCATATGGGTGGATTGTTTTTTGGCCACGGCAGGAAACGGAAGCTGGCAGCGCTAACGTGCCAAACTGCCAACTACAAAAGCCAACAACTCCTCGCTCTGTTAACTTGTTTATGTCGCCGTGTTGCTTTTGTGTTACTTTTTATCCTCAAATATAATTTGCTCACTCTCCATCCCCTTCTGCCACTTATTGCCCTATTTGTAAGATTTATTCTATTAGGATATATGGAATATTTGGATATTAATTGAAATGAATCAAGTGCAGAAACAAATTACTTGAAGATATTTTAATAAAAAGTCAAGAGTAAATGTTCATTGATAAAAAAACATATCTTTAAATTCTTTTGTTTTTTTCTAAATTAATTGGTTAATTTTCATTTTCAAATTTATTGCTGTACTTTTATTGTAAAGCGCTTATTACTAAGCCTTGATAAATAAACCTTATTAAACTAAAGTTGACAAGAATAATTATTTATTTCAAATTTTAATTATATTAAAAATGTATTTGGAAAATAGTTCGATTGTTTCGAATTCCTTAAGAAATATATTATAAAATGTTTTTAATGCTGAATTTTATCATTGATTTAAAACATTTGTATTATGGAACTAGAAACTATTATTCATCAGCTTTAAGAAGATTACATTTGTGAAAGTGTATTCATATGAGTGTTTTACCTCAAATATTTTCAAAAAACAAAGCCTTCGCGTTTGTAGTTCCTTTTCCCCATTTTCACTATTTTCAAATGCCTGGCGGCCAAATAAATGCCAGTGACAATTTGCAACGGGCCAAACTCGAGCCCTTAGCCCCCCAACTTACCTCATTTTTGTTTTGGAAAGGCCAGCACAAAAGTCATTTTTGATTGTTTTCATGAAAATGAGCATAGAAAAATTATAATTAAAATTCATATGGAAATTGTCGAAAAAAGCAGCCACTACAACATGGAAGGCGAGAACAATGGCCCACTGATGTTGTTGTTGACCAAAAGATTTCATCTAAAAGAGACCCAAGAAATGCAGTGGTCGAAAAGAGGGAGCAGCTGAGCTGCGGGTTTATTGTTTGCGGGGAACATGTGTTCCACCAAATCCCCCCACATCACCCATCTTTCTTCTGCCAAAACAATGTCAGCTTACAGAATTAGAAGAGCACCAAAGGGGGTTAAGTGAAGGGGTTACCTGTGCACCACTCAAATATATATAAGCAAGAGCACTGAAAAGAATTTTGGGAATTTTCTACTTCTAATATAACATTTAAGGCCTAACTAAAACATACAAATATTAATATCTATATTTTTGGGCGACTTTTTAGACTTGAGACTCAAGCATTCATAAAAGTATAAAAGCATTTTAATGCCACATTCCTTATTTATAGTATATTTTTAGAAAGTTTACATAGTTAAATTCAAAACCCCTTTTCTTTTGTCGTGCATTCAAAGCACAATGGTCAGAAGAGCCAGAAGGAAAAACGCATGCCGGCTGCTCATTTTCTTGTTGTCGTTTCATTTTTGGCACTTTTATGCGATAAAATATTTAATTATATTCGGCAGCTTCGTTTGTGCATTGTGCGGTGGCCTTTTCACTGCCTTTTTAGCCCATTTTACATCACCTTGGGGAGTGGGCGTGGCTGAAATTGCATTTCGAGTGTCTGCCTCAAAGTATGCAATGATTTCGTACGCCCTCTTCTTTTGGAAAACAGGGGAAAATGGTTTACTGTGATTGCAAAAGGTAAAAGAAAATTACTATACGCTATAGGTGAAATTTAAAATAAAAATTATTTTATTCAAAGCAAATGCATTTCAAGCTTTTTTTTATAACTGCATTTCAAGCTATTTATTATAAATCTTGTAATTGGCATGTGCACGTTTTCTATTTAACCGGTGGTTAAGTATTTGCGCGGATTTTAAATTTACCATTTAATGGAACTGAAGCTGTTATTTCTTGTGTTTCCTGTTCATAATTTTGTAAATATCAAATAATAAAGGCAGTCAATTTGGGAATTTGTCTTGATAACGGCAAGCCATAGAATTTAACCGGAGGTTATCATCATCACTAGTTAAGTATTCATCACTGGATAAGTATTATTATTATTTTTTTCTGCCATCTGCTTATTTTTTAGCCGGTGGCCATGGTCGTGGCTCTGGTTGTTGTGGTCGTAGTGGTTGTGGTTGTTGTGGTTGTTGTCGTTCTTGCGGTGGTGCTCAGGGGTCGCTTGATGATCGTTATCCGTACGCAACCGGCATGATCCGGATGCTCACCGATGGGCGCCGTGCCGGCAAGATTTAGGCACTCCAGGGCGATTAGCACTGCGAGTATGTACATCGTGGACTGCCTCATAGTGATCCTCGACTGCAGAACTCCCCCGAACAACTGATCGAATTTCATGGGGGCGCCATTCATTTTTATAGTTCGCTTTTCTTGCAGCCCCATTCAATTGGCAACAATGACGACAAATTGCAGCCTCACCTCTGTCCATGAATTATGTGATCTGGTCGATACGATATATGTTTATATTCTATTCTATGTATTCCCCAACATCAGATAGGCTTAATTTCATTTATTCTCGCTGAATATTTGTCGAATTAATGCCGATTTACATCGCTGCGGGAAATCCGGTTAAACTGGCTTAGAACTCCGAAATTCATTCATAAAAATCCCATTTAAGGAATAATGACTCATTTAAATGGTGGAAAGATGGAATATTAAAATATTGAGTTAATTAATATTTAATTGAGCTATTTTCGGTGTAATTATAGTCATTTTCACCTGTAACGTTTTTAGGCGTAGAAATAATTATTGCTTATCAAAAGAATCAATCCCTTTTAAATGCTTCCGTAAACATAACATAAGTCATAAAAACAAGTAGACACATTTTTGAAAATGAATAAATGTTTGAAAGTTAAAAGTTACTTTTTGTGCATTACATTTAAGTAAAATGATTATACTCTCCCTTTTAACACATCAATAAAATGTCTCAGTTCAATTGCAACAAACATCTTTTATTATTTTTAATTCTTTGTCACCTTTGTTTTTGTTATTAAATCATTTAAAACATGTGTAAACGTTTTTTAAACTATTTTGTGTATAAACTTAAAAAAAGAGCATACTAATTTAATTTAATAATTTACTCTAAGGTAAACATAAATTCATTTAAATGTAATATGTTCTCAAATATATGTATTTGTAATAATCTGTAGTTCTGATCCACATTATTTTAAGTGAATTACAATTTTTTATTGCTGGAATGCATTTCTTTATTTTAAAGCTGGAGGGCTACATAGAACTAAAGTTTACATAAGGGTGCATTTAGAAGGTTTCTTCAAAGGATTTTAGCCAGGATTTTGGGTACAGTTTCCGATCCATTCACCCAGAAGAGCTGGCGGTGGTGCTGGGAGGTGGTGGAGGACCACCACGTGGTGGGGGTGACCCTGTCATGTTGCGATGGTGACCCACAGCCTCAAATCCACGAGCCAGATTCACTCCAGCCGCAGAGAATTGCTAAATAAAAAGGGAAAATTGATATTGAAAAATATAAAATATCATATTTTAAACTTATTTAAAGTTGCCTAGCATTAACTCACCAGCAGACAGCAGCTCAGGGCCAAAAAGAACAGCAGACAGAAACGCATCTTGATGTCGAATGGTTGACATTGGCCCCGAAAACCTTGCTTTTATGGCCCTCGTTTGTTTACCCGCTTCTAAACAAATTTATTATAGAGTCTACCGCTGTAATTGCTCTCGTAATTGGTATGCCACATTAAATATCTAATTGAGGTGTTGATTTTGTAATAATATTATTTCAACTGGTCCGCAATTATCATGTGCACTGGAGCTCTCTCTTTTCCGAATAGAGAACTGGGTTTTGGTTGCAGTTTGTATTTGTGTGCTTAATAACTTTAACTAATGGGGAAAATATTGAAGGCAAACAAATAGATTCTTGCTCTGTTTTATCGATAACACAATGTCCCTAAATGTGGACTTGAGTTACAACAATTACAAATATACTATACCCATTCCTTGTTTGATTTAATTTTGAAAAAAAGCCACTCAACCACACAGTTAACACGTCCCAATGAATACATACAATGTGATACCCGTCTAATGAAATGTATCTCAACGAATTGATGTCCCCTTAAGAGCGGATATCAGATATTCCATCCACCCCCGACCAATAACTAATGCCATAAGCCACTCCAGATTGCAGCACTCGTGACTTGTCGCCAGGCATTTGATGAACTGCCACAGGATGTGGATTTGTATTTGGATTGGCATTGGCAGTGTCACTGGCACTGGCACTGGCATTGAGATTCCAGATCTCACAATCCTGATAGGCATAAACGTGTCGGGAAAGTTTTATGACCAGTTCCTTTTTACCACACGAAAAATCCCCCATCGAATCGTGCCACTGAACTTTGACATATTTGCAACACAGAGAAACAAATTATTTACTTCTTTTTAGGATTAGAAACTTCATGTATAAACAATTAAATCTATTCCAAACAACAACTATTCATTTTCGGTTATCTATATACTTAACCTGCCCATTAATACGAATAATTTATTTGGGGTCATAATTCCATAATTCCATTAGTTATTGCTTTGTGCAATTTAATTTTAGGTTAAATTAACTATTAAAATTAATATAAATCAAAATAGCTAATATAATATACCTACTTATATATATTAAAATGCAAATAATATTGTATTTTTTATTTTTTTTTCTCTGTACCACAACGAAAAGCAGTCATAAACTACCTAATGCCAGCAAAAACAGGGGAAAAAATCATAAAAGTCACAAAACCGAATTCTGTGGCCCACTTTTATTGGATTTTTACGATAAGCCTCGCTGCGTGTATTTTTTTAGACTTGTTCTTTTTGCCAATGATGATTCGAAAAGCACTTTCGGCGCAAATTGCAGCTGTTATCGCTGATCAAATGGCATAAAAGGACTCCCCAAATATATATTATATGAGGATGTACAGCAGAAAGCTGGCGAGTGTCTCCGGTCAGAATGCAAATCAAACAAGCAAACAATAAATTGAATCAGGACATTGTTGAATGTAACAGATAGCCCCAAAAACAATGGGCTAGGCAGGCCGAACTGAACGCATGCATATCCTGGAGACATTAAGGATATCCTTGAGTAGATGCAATTTTCTAACCAATATAATTCATAAATTTATTTTCAATCCTTTCCGCACATAAATTTTCATATTATGCACACTCACTCACAGACAGAGCCTATTTTTCTCCCAGGCCTATGCCTATGCCTATTGTCCTGCGGCATGTCCTGTGTGCGTTTGGATATTATTTGTCGTCGTGCTTGTCATTATTTATATGGGCAGGCAAGAGATAAGTTGCTGCCCCCCAAAAGCCCCCCAAATTCCTCCAAAATCCCCCCCAAAAACAGGATGCAGTCGAGGTCCTGGCAATTACACAAGCACAGATACAAAGATACTCGGATGCAAAATGTCCTTCGGTGAGTATGTATATGCTTATGTGTATGTGTGCCTGTGCGCGTGTGTTTGCAGGTTGTTGGCCCAAAATTTTGATTTATAAATGCCAACACCGAGCAGGTTATACCCCCAAGCCCCCCTAGAAATTTCCCCCAGGAAGCTGCAGTTACTTTTGGCTGACTAACGTCCCCAGGATCTGAGAAGGTCCTGGCGTCGAGCCGAGTGCAACTCAAGTGGCCATTAATATATCAGTTCAATTCATATTTGAAATTTTGCATTTCCTAACAGGACGAGAGGCGAGAAACGAGGACGAGCCACAGATCCAGATCCCTGTCCAGCTGGCACCTACATACAGCCACTCATTCGCCTGCTTCGCCTCCTTTGACTCCTTTGCCTCCTTTGCCCGGAATTCCCCCGCTCCCACCACGCATACGATTATGATTTGTGTCTTACTTAATGCACAGAGTCCTACAACTTTGATACACTCACCGAAATATATCATATTAATAATAAAAAATGTAATTACAATGTTTGGCTCAAGTTATTTTATGATAAAATGGTAGGATAAAGTAAGAGATAAAGTAAATCAATTCAACATATTTTCATATAAGGTACACTTATCATTTTGTATTCCGTATTTAAACATAATGGTAAAGTTAAGTTAATAAATATAAATACACAAAACATTTTATACTTTTAGCAATAAAGTAGAATACAATTCAATAAGAGGGTCCCAATGAAATTAGGATAATTACCAACACGATAATGGTGTTTATATTATTTCGTAGCCTGCTTAATTGTATTTTCATAATTCTCCAATTTAATTTTTTTATTGCATATTTTTTTTAGCTCAAGTGTCAACTTTATATTTTCTTCATTAATTTAAGGTACATATATTTTTACCTTTTAAAAGGACTTTATTTTAATCAGGAAAGTTTCTTTAAAGTATTGATTTAAACAAAAGTAATGTGATTATAACAGGGCATCATAAAAATTCTGTTTTTTTCCCAGTTAACTTTGAATACTAATGAATATATATTATATATTATTTTCCCATTCAATTTCTCTCAGTGCATAAATGGTGCCCAACGGCACAGAACTGAACTGGTTAGCTGTTAGCTGAGTGGAGCCGGCGTCGTCTCAATCTGATTGATTTAGAATTCCAATTGAGACTGCATGAAATATGTTTGCTTCGTGTCTGGCTTCTGGCTGCTGTCGTTGTTTTTGGGGGTCCTGCAAGTCCTTCCTTGGCCCCTTAACCCCTCAATGCCCCCTCAACCACCCCAATGCCCCGTGCGGCACAGCATTTATGCATAGGCATATCCTTTTGCGAAATTTGCATTTTCGAACAATTGCAAACGGCAGCAGCAGCAGCAGCAGCAGCAGCAGCAGCAGCAGAAGGAGCAAGCTGCAGGAAGAGCAGCAGGACAACGACAACGACGACGACTTATTGGTATTTCATTGATTTATGACACTTGTGAAACAATTTGGAAAATCACAGATTAGCAACCGAGCACTAATTACACCCTACGGTTCATTGGGAAAGCACCTGCGACTCTCTCTCTCACTTATGTACACGAAATTGCCGAAATTCTTTGCACTTTGTCATGCAAATCGGTACTAATTGAAGGCAAAGGTCTAACTAGAGGGCTCTGCGATTTTTTAATTGTGTAGAAATTAAACTAAATAAATTTCAGAACAGCTCCAGTTGTCACACATTGTTATATTTTATTTCTTTGGCCAGTTGAGTGAGAAAAAAGAGATCCTTTTGAGTTGGCTTCAAATATGTAAATTCGCAAAGGGACACCCTACAGCTTGAGCTATTTAAATTTAATTCAAAATTTGCATTAATTAAATTAAAATGGTTATTAATATAAAATATAAATATTATGAAATGAACTTTGAAAATAAATAATTAAAGTAATAAATATAGGTATATGCTTTTTAATGTGCACTCTTAACTTCAAATTGTTAATAGGAACAGTAACAGGTCGTTAGACAGTTCAATTATCCCTTATTTAACAAAACTTTGTTTTATGACTTACAGATAGTTCTAATTGAAGAACATGCAAGTTTCTTGTAAATAATAATTTATATATGCGTTCTACTTCTACATCCACTTTTGCTTTTGCTTTTATAGCAACATAAATAATAATTTCCTTTCCCCTATAGTTAACTAACAATATTCCTATGAGTTGCTCTTTAAAGTGTAGAGTATTTTTGAGATTCGTGATAGCCGAATCGAATGAAACCAAGCGAAGCTCCTTCATCATCAGTGCATCGTCTCCATCTTCCTGGGTTGCAAAGCTCGAGGCCCCGAAGTTTCCTATCAGCAGAAGACCTGCAGACTCGAACAATTGAACTTTGGCCTCCGGCTGCCCCCTTAACCCCTTTGGTGCCCCCTGTTCCACCCATCTATATATATATTACACCCGCCCCTGTGACTTAACCCACCAGTGGCACATGTCCTTCCGCACTTTCTCTGCCATTGCTGGCCATCGTCTTTGCCAACTGCGACTCCAACTGAGATTTATATGTCGGGCGAAGGGTGGGGGGCTTAACCCCTGGTTGCCCCCCTCAAATGGACGTGCAGTGATTAGGCTACCAGGCTACAAACGATTTGTTGCATGTTGTTGCAATTGATTGTTGCAATTTCAATTTTGAATTATGAGGCCTGCCTTGCCTTTTGGATCCTGGCATCCGTTTCCGTTTCCACACCCCCTTGCTGTTGCTGCTGTGCATTTGGTGTTGCTGCTGTTGCTATTGCTGTTGCTGCTGCTGCTGCTGCTGCTGATGCTGCTGCTGCTGCTGCCTGTGTGCAATGTGTTGCAAGTTGCATTGGCAGCGTCATTCAAGTGTTTAGTGATTTATTGAATGCCGTTAGAGTTGTCGTTGTTTCTCCTCTGCTGCAATTGCAGCTGCAATTGCAATCGCATTGTTGCATTGTTGCAATTGCAATTGCAATTGCAATTGCCTTTGCCTTTGGGGCCACATGCTCTCTCTGTCTGCCCCAAAACCCAAAACTCTGAGATTAGCACAATGGCTTTGAGCACTTTTGACAGCTAAGATTTGTTTATGCCCCAACAGCAGCCTCCGCCCTCCCACTCTTAACCCATTAGCCTGCGTCTGAGAGTTGTGTCCTTATCTTGGCGGAAGTCTGGGGCGGTCGTGATTCATGTCCTTGCATATTGGTAACAAATTTGTGGTAATT